CTTGGAAGAGATACGAGACCGAAGATCTGGAATTCAGAGACCCTAAGAGGATGCAACTAAAGGAGCTTAAATATAAATCTTTCAGAACATATTGTTCATCACAATCTGTTTATAACTTGTTATTCTCGACTGAAGATACTGCGAAAATCAAAATAGAATAGATAAGATGGTTAGGAACCATTAGGTCTCACGTTATCTGCAAGTCGTACTGTAAAAATCTTGAATCTCTCTCTCTTGAAACTGATTGAATCTCTCTGCTCGAGTGCTTTCAGGCCCGACTTTGTTTTTTTTTTTAACCGTATTAATTGTTTTGAAGAGCGCAGGTGTACTGTGAAATTAAGTGAACTCGAATGGTACGTGTTGAAATTAAATACATAACAATCTAAATCCGTTTCGAGCACCACCCGAGCCACCAGTTCTCAATATATATATATATATATATATATATATATATATATATATATATATATATATATATATATATATATATATATATATATATATGTCGTACCTAGTAGCCAGAACTCACTTTTCAGCCTACTATGCAAGGCCCAATTTGCCTAATAAGCCAAGTTTCATGAATTAATTGTTTTTCGACTACCTAACCTACCTAACCTAACCTAACCTAACTTTTTCCGCTACCTAACCTAACCTAACCTATAAAGATAGGTTAGGTTAGGTTAGGTAGGGTTGGTTAGGTTTGGTCATATATCTACGTTAATTTAAACTCCAATAAAAAAAAATTGACCTCATACATAATGAAATGGTTAGATTTATCATTTCATAAGAAAAAAATTATGAGAAAATATATTAATTCAGGAAAACTTGGCTTATTAGGCAAATCGGGCCTTGCATAGTAGGCCGATAAGTGCGTTCTGGCTATTAGGTACGATATATATATATATATATATATATATAATGTCGTACCTAGTAGCCAGAACTCACTTCTCAGCCTACTATGCAAGGCCCGATTTGCCTAATAAGCCTAGTTTTCATGAATTAATGTTTTTTCGACTACCTAACCTACCTAACCTAACCTAACGTATTCGGCTACCTAACCTAACCTAACCTATAAAGATAGGTTAGGTTAGGTTAGGTAGTGTTGGTTAGGTTCGGTCATATATCTACGTTAATTTTAACTCCAATAAAAAAAAATTGACCTCATACATATTGAAATGGGTAGCTTTATCATTTCATAAGAAAAAAAAAATGAAAAAATATATTAATTTAGTAAAACTTGGCTTATTAGGCAAATCGGGCCTTGCATAGTAGGCTGAGAAGTGAGTTCTGGCTACTAGGTACGACATATATATATATATATATATATATATATATATATATATATATATATATATATATATATATATATATATATATATATATATTTTGGTGTATACTGGCAGCAGGTTTTCTTTCAAACATGTTTCATTGAATATGACCGCATATTCTGTATTTACTATTTTCTGGTTTAGGGCTTCTATCCCTCTATTTTCTTAGCATCAGGGCTTAGCTGAAATAGGAGTTCTCCAAAACTCATTTTCTGGGCCTTTGTCTCTCGGGCGATGTATGGTGTTTTACTTAACAATTCTGTGTCTAATTGTCCAAGTCGATTTATTCATGCGTTCAAAAATCTCAAAAAAGATAATTCATTATATATTACCAAGGCGGGTAAGTTTGAAGTGACTGCTTTATTCACTAAAGTACCCGTTGATGATTTGTTAGAATACCTATGCGAGGAACTGCCAAAATATAATTTGAGCTTGCAGACCAATAATGTGTTGGAACTTATCAAATTATGTATAAAATTATTTCAGTTTCAATGGAATTTTTCAAACAAACATTTGGAATGGCAATGGGAAAACCCCATTCCCCAGTTTTGAGCAATTTATATATATGGAGTTCTTCGAAACAAAAATCTTATCCAGGATTATCCCTTCTAATATTGTTTGGTTTAGGTATGTCAATGATATTTTGTGCTAATGACCGAGTGACCAAGACCAAATTGTTTTTTTTTTAATGAACTTAATTCTTTGGTACCTTCAATAAAATTCACATGTGAGAATGAGGAGAATGGTACTCTTCCGTTTTTGGACATTATGATTCATAGTCACTAGAAGGTTCAAATTTAATGTGTATAGAAAACCTACCAACGTGAGGTCGTTTGTTCATTATTATTCGAATCATCATAGTTAAGTTAAACAGGCAGTATTTTCAGGAATGTTTCTTCGAGCTTTGAGGGTATGCAGCCCTGAGCTTTTTGATGAAGATATAGCTAAAATATATGAAATTGGGAAGAGTTTACAGTACCCTAAGATGTTTTTGGATTGTTCGTTTGGGCAAGCTAAACGTACGTTTTATAATAATGTCTCCAAAGCGAAACCAGAAAATAGAAACTCATTGGTGGTACCTTATGCAATGGGATTTGAGAAACTTTTCCCAGTTTTTAAGAACCTTAATATCAATTTGGTGTTCACTAATAATACGATCAAGTCTAATTTAATAAAAAACTTCCCTGGTACAGCAGGTTGTGTGTATTCGATTCCATGCAATGATTGCGAGTCTGTGTACCTTGGACAAACAGGAAAATCCTTACAATTACGTATGTCCCAACATGCTTATAGTATAAGAACTGCCCAAACGTCTAATGCTTTGTATCTACACACAAGTTTGTGTGATCACACTATTAATTGGAATGGGGCGAAAAGCATTACCAATTTCAATGGCTTTGTGGAACGGAATTTAATTGAGTCTGCTCTAATTAGTCAGTGTCCAAATCTTCTCAATGTTAGTACTGGTATGTACAAACTTGACCCAGTTTTAAGTTACAATATTGCACAACAGTTTAAGAAAAAACTATGATAGGGAGAGTTACATTGTCTCATAACAATATTATATTAATATATTTTATGTAGGTTCAATGAGTTTTTTCTTTAATCGTTTACTCCTACCGCTTAAATCCTTCTGACCACTCTAAGCTAATCTATACCTTTTTCTGGTTAATTCTTTCCCCAGGAGATGGTGGTCAGGATCTAGTGTCTGCCTCCACTCTTTCTTTGTGATTTCTTTCAGTCCGGTGTTGACAAAGGCCCAGATCGGCCGAAACGTTCATCTCTCTTTTTCATTTCTCTGTGGATTTTCCGCATATTAGCCAAGTTTAGTGATATATTATATATATATATATATATATATATATATATATATATATATATATATATATATATATATATATATGCAAAAAAGTTCATTTCACAATTTCCATAGATCAGTATCGCTAAAGGACGCGTTACGCTGAAGAACTGTTCAACATCGTCAGAGGCAGAGTGAACGCTAACTGAGAAGGCTTGATAGTATACATGCACCATCTACGATGAGGGGAAGACTATTGAATTCTCTCTCACGGATGGAATACTCTTGTTCCGTGTTCTCGTATGTCCTCCCGACCATATGAAGGCTCTGGCACACAGCCCGCCAAACACACGCACCGAAACTACGACGTTGGTACAACGTTCGAACAAGTTTTAACACCTAACCAGTTCTAACAACCAATATAGCAAGTTGTAACAACGTTCTGATACGTCATAAACACGTTAAGTCAAGATGTAACAACGTTATTACAAGTTGTAACAAGCGGAAAATAGAGACAGTTACGGTTCGTGTTTCCAGGGAGTAGGCTCGAACTGCGACGGTTACTTACCATGATGGTAACTTACATTGAAGTTTATTCCTAATGAACAAATCACTAACAATAATTAGTTATCTTAGCTATCTTAGCTTGTTGTTGGGTTAGAAATATCATCACTATTCTTATTGAATCCTAGTATTAGAGAGAGAGCGAGAGAGCGAGAGAGAGAGAGAGAGAGAGCGAGAGAGAATATATGAAGAATGAGAGACAGAGAGCAAGATAAAGAAAGAAAGAGAGAGAGAGAGAGAGAGAGAGAGAGAGAGAGAGAGAGAGCGAGAGAGAGAGAATATATGAAGAACGAGAGACAGAGAGCAAGATAAAGAAAAGAGAGAGAGAGAGAGAGAGAGAGAGAGAGAGAGAGAGAGAGAGAGAGAGAGAGAGAGAGAGAAAGAGGGAGAGAGAAAGAGAGAGAGGGAGATAATGAAGAACGAAAGACAGAGAGAGAGAGCAAGATAGAGAGACTCAGCAAATTTAGGGACGTGTCATTTAGAAGGAATATCTTAAAAGCTGAGGAGGAGGAGGAGAAGGAAGAGAGACAGGTTCATTAGTGAGGACGAGGGACGTCTCTCCCTCACGAGGCAGGACTGGGCGTGGTGTGGGGGAGCAGGGATGTCCCCATCATGGTGGGCACGCTGGAGCAATGGTAATGGGCCGTAGGGCCATGGTACGGGACGTAGGGCCATGGTGAGGGCCGTAGGGCCATGGTACGGGACGTAGGGCCATGGTGAGGGACGTAGGGCCATGGTGAGGGACGTAGGGCCATGGTGAGGGACGTAGGGCCATGGTACGGGACGTAGGGCCATGGTGAGGGACGTAGGGCCATGGTGAAGGCCGTAGGGCCATGGTACGGGACGTAGGGCCATGGTGAGGGACGTAGGGCCATGGTGAGGGCCGTAGGGCCATGGTACGGGACGTAGGGCCATGGAGAGGGCCGTAGGGCCATGGTGAGGGCCGTAGGGCCATGGTGAGGGCCGTAGGGCCATGGTGAGGGCCGTAGGGCCATGGTACGGGACGTAGGGCCATGGTGAGGGCCGTAGGGCCATGGTACGGGACGTAGGGCCATAGTGAGGGCCGTAGGGCCATGGACCGGGGAGCCGGTCGGCCGAGCGGACAGCACGCTGGACTGTGATCTTGTGGTCCCGGGTTCGATCCCGGGCGCCGGCGAGAAACAATGGGCAGAGTTTCTTTCACCCTATGCCTCTGTTACCTAGCAGTAAAATAGATACCTGGGTGTTAGTCAGCTGTCACGGGCTGCTTCTTGGGGGTGGAGGCCTGGTCGAGGACCGGGCCGCGGGGACACTAAAGCCCCGAAATCATCTCAAGATCTCAAGATATTGTACGGGACGTAAGGCCATGGTAAAGAACGTAGGGCCATGGTAAGGGACGTAGGGCCATGGTGAGGGCCGTAGGGCCATGGTGAGGGCCGTAGGGCCATGGTAAGGGCCGTAGGGCCATGGTAAGGGCCGTAAGGCCATGGTAAGGGCCGTAGGGCCATGGTAAGGGCCGTAGGGCCATGGTAAGGGCCGTAGGGCCATGGTAAGGGCCGTAGGGCCATGGTAAGGGCCGTAGGACCATGGTGAGGGCCGTAGGGCCATGGTGAGGGACGTAGGGCCATGGTGAGAGGCGTAGGGCCATGATAAGGGCCGTAGGGCCATGGTGAGGGACGTAGGGCCATGGTGAGAGGCGTGGGGCCATGATAAGGGCCGTAGGGCCATGATAAGGGCCGTAGGGCCATGGTGAGGGACGTAGGGCCATGGTGAGGGACGTAGGGCCATGATAAGGGCCGTAGGGCCATGGTGAGGGACGTAGGGCCATGATAAGGGCCGTAGGGCCATGGTGAGGGACGTAGGGCCATGGTGAGGGACGAAGGGCCATGGTGAGGGACGTAGGGCCATGGTGAGCGACGTAGGGCCATAATGAGGGACGTAGGGCCATGGTGAGGGACGTAGGGCCATGGTGAGCGACGTAGGGCCATGGTGAGGGACGTAGGGCCATGATAAGGGACGTAGGGCCATGGTGAGGGACGTAGGGCCATGGTGAGGGACGTAGGGCCATGGTGAGGGACGTAGGGCCATGGTGAGCGACGTAGGGCCATGGTGAGGGACGTAGGGCCATGATAAGGGACGTAGGGCCATGGTGAGCGACGTAGGGCCATGGTGAGGGACGTAGGGCCATGGTGAGGGACGTAGGGCCATGGTGAGGGACGTAGGGCCATGGTGAGCGACGTAGGGCCATGGTGAGGGACGTAGGGCCATGGTGAGGGCCGTAGGGCCATGGTAAGGGCCGTAGGGCCATGGTAAGGGCCGTAGGGCCATGGTAAAGGACGTAGGGCCATGGTAAGGGCCGTAGGGCCATGGTAAGGGCCGTAGGGCCATGGTAAGGGCCGTAGGGCCATGGTGAGGGACGTAGGGCCATGGTGAGGGACGTAGGGCCATGGTGAGGGACGTAGGGCCATGGTGAGGGCCGTAGGGCCATGGTAAGGGCCTTAGGACCATGCAAGTCATCAGTGGTGAGGTAGGAGCTATAATCACCTCGAGCATATTCCCGAAGATATGTTCAGCATAACAGGCAGCTCCTGAACATACCATTTGAACATATCTCCCGCCAGCTGACATATATACCGCCTTCATATAGCGACCAATACACGCGTCACCTCCATATAACGGTCAACAAGGACAAGTGCCATAAATACAGCGACCGGCAAAAGGTCGTAATTGGGACGTAATGACCATCAACAGGTCGTCTCAGGTCGTTTCAGGTCGTTACCTCACTAATGCTCGACACTGTACCTCAGCCGTGACCTGCCTAACTGATTTCCGCATTAGCTTGAGGGTGTGAGTGCTTGGGCTCTCCTGTGTGTTCTTGCTGGGTCGGGCGCCAGCTCCCAAGCCCCCCCCCCCCCGCCTTTCGAAGCAAAAAGTCATGTTTTTTCCCATATTTGTCCTGTAAAACATTTTAAAATATGTATTAATTGTTTCGTGTTTAGGACATGTGGAACGTTACCATTAAGTGTTCCTTGTTTAGGTCCTACGGAACACACCATCAAGTGTTCCTTGTTTAGTTCACACGGAACAAAACAATAAATGTTCCTTGTTTAAGTCACACGGAACAAACCATGAAGTGTTCCGTGTTTAGGTCCTACGGAACACACCATCAAGTGTTCCTTGTTTAGATCACACGGAACACACCATGAAGTGTTCCGTGTTTAGGTCCTACGGAACACACCATCTAGTGTTCCTTGTTTAGATCACACGGAACAAACCATGAAGTGTTCCGTGTTTAGGTCCTACGGAACACACCATCTAGTGTTCCTTGTTTAGATCACACGGAACAAACCATGAAGTGTTCCTTGTTTAGGTCCTACGGAACACACCATCTAGTGTTCCTTGTTTAGGTCCTACGAAACAACCACCAAGTGTTCCTTGTTTAGGTCCTACGGAACACACCATCTAGTGTTCCTTGTTTAGATCACACGGAACAAACCATGAAGTGTTCCTTGTTTAGGTCCTACGGAACAAACCATCTAGTGTTCCTTGTTTAGATCACACGGAACAAACCATGAAGTGTTCCTTGTTTAGGTCCTACGGAACAAACCATCTAGTGTTCCTTGTTTAGATCACACGGAACAAACCATGAAGTGTTCCTTGTTTAGGTCCTACGGAACACACCATCAAGTGTTCCGTGTTTAGGTCTAGGGAACTGGTGGAATGGTTCCTTGGGTCTCGTGCCGCTGGTCTCCTTGCTACAGACGACCTCCTTAACATGCATATTGCGGAAATTGAATTTCGGAGCAATCCGCAACCACTGCTGCTGTGTGCGTGTTAACGGGCTCTAATTTGACACTAGTGGGGATTGAATGATATGCCCCTATTGCTCTCGCTTCGTCTCGGGTGTATCTATCTTGTCTCTCTCTCTGTATCTATCTTTGTAGCATCCTTCTTCTCTCTCTCTGTATCTTTGTAGCATCCTTCTTCTCTCTCTCTGTATCTTTGTAGCATCCTTCTTCTCTCTCTCTGTATCTTTGTAGCATCCTTCTCTCTCTGTGTCTATCTTTGTGGCATCCTTCTTCTCTCTCTCTGTATCTATCTTTGTGGCATCCTTCTCTCTGTGTCTATCTTTGTGGCATCCTTCTTCTCTCTCTCTCTGTATCTATCTTTGTGATCTCCGTCTCTCTCTCTCTCTGTATCTATCTTTGTGGCATCCTTCTTCTCTCTCTCTCTGTATCTATCTTTGTGATCTCCGTCTCTCTCTCTCTCTGTATCTATCTTTGTGAACTCTCTCTTCTCTCTCTCTCTCTCTCTCTCTCTCTCTCTCTCTCTCTCTCTCTCTCTCTCTCTCTCTCTCTCTCTCTCTCTGTATCTATCTTTGTGAACTCTCTCTTCTCTCTCTCTGTCTGTTTAGCTTTCACAGATGAACAGATACAAACTTACACAGAAAATTTCATTGAATTACCAGAAACTACGTTAGATATAAACATGATCTGAGTATTCTAACATTCAGAGCTATCTAGAAGAGGCATAATTAAACTAAACAACTGTTAATTATCCGCTTGAATCCTCTAACCCATTTCTGGACTGTCGGGATTCAACAGTCTCAATACTTAGGAACGACAAATATATTTCATTTTTTGCGGCTTTATCGACGATCACAGATATCCTGTTAGTCAGGGTCAGATATCCTGACTACACAACCTGGAAATAATTGACAGATACGGCGATAATAGGACGTAAGACATAGCTGAAGCACTTCATATCTAACACAATTCCCGCCAAACACACACCGAAACTACGACGTTGGTACAACGTTCGAACAAGTTTTAACACTTCCTAACCAGTTATAACAACCAATATAGCAAGTTGTAACAACGTTCTAATACGTCATAAACACGTTAAGCCAAGATGTAACAACTTGATTACAAGTTGTGACAAGCGGAAAATAGAGACAGTTTCGGTTTGTGTTTCCAGGAATACATTATCAACAGCATGTTTGCTCTAAGGTGGTATCTGTAAGGGCCAAGTGAGAACTACCAGTTTACACCACAATTACTGCCCCAGGCGACTAATGTAGGACAAGATTACCCAGTAGTTCACACGATTGGATGACCGCCTGTCCATTCCTCACTCCTGCGTGGAAAGATTGGGCACCAATCCTCTCCCCCGTCCCATCCCAAATCCTTATCCTGACCCCCGGCCGGCCGGCCGAGCGGACAGCACGCTGGCACGTGATCCTGTGGTCCCCGGGTTCGATCCCGGGCGCCGGAGAAAAACGATGGGCAGAGTTTCTTTCATCCTGTGCCCCCTGTTACCTAGCAGTAAATAGGTACCTGGGAGTTAGTCAGCAATCACGGGCTGCTTCCTGGGGGTGGAGGCCTGGTTGAGGACCGGGCCGCTGGGACACTAAAGCCCCGAAATCAACTCAAGATAACTCCTTCCAAGTGCTATATAGTCTTAATGGCTTGGCGCTTTCCCCCTGATAATTCCTTCTTCCGTAGAAAACATACAGTTTCTTACTGTATTTGTATTCACTGTATTTACTGTGTACTCTGCTGCTACGGTGTACTTAACGAACTGTATCCTATAACGATACTCGTTAGGACTATTCAAATATTAAAATAACGCTTCACCCACGTATAACAAACCCAAATAATTGCTAATAGATGGTGATGGTGAGTATCAGGGGAAAGCGCCAAGTCTTTACAACTATATGGCACTGGGAAGGGGTCAGGATAAGGATTTAGGATGGGACGGGGGGAAGGAATGGTGCCCAACAATTTGGACGGTCGGGGATTGAACGCCGACCTGCATGAAGCGAGACCGTCGCTCTACCGTCCAATCCAAGTTCTATTGCTAATAGAACCTAAACACTTAACCTAACCTACGCCTAAATAGACTAATATATAATAATATTAATTTATATTTGAGAAAATTCCAATTTTGAATGAACATCATGTTAACATTTATGAATCCGTCTTTGGGGTCGACCGCTGGATGGAATAAACTTAGTTAAAGAAATAATGAACTCAGCAAAGGCCGAAATAACAACATTTAGCCTAAGCTGGCAGAGCTTTTCCACACAGGAAACATGCTAATTACCAACAAAGTTGTAGTTAGTGTTGAACCATTTATGACATAGTTGCACATATAGGGATGTATATGAATGTGTATAACTGTGTTTATACCAGACATTTAGAGGTCCCTAATAGCCAGTTGAGTGGAGAGTTATAGTGCCGCTCTCTACTGATCATCTGGACAGAGTTACAGTGCTGCTCTCTACTAATCAACTAGGCAAAGAGTTACAATGCTGCTCTCTACCAATCAGCTTGTCAAAGAGTTAGTGCTGCTCTCTACCAATCAACTAGACAGAGAGTTACAGTGCCGCTCTCTACCAATCAACTAGGCAAAGAGTTACAGTGCTGTTCTCTACCAATCAGCTGAACAGAGAGTTGCAGTGCCTCTGTTTCTTAAGAGAAAGTGAATAGTTTCCTGAATGACTTCCTCAAGTGGGAACAAGATAGGCGTCTCATCAATACTTCATCTCCCCTCTTGGGGTAAACACTCACAGATTCTTCTTGCACAGGTCTGTAGTTTGAGTGTTTTGAGTGAAGCATGACTATTGCAATATTCTCATTGAGTCCCAACATTAGTAATGTTGTAGTTGTAGTAATATTAGTGGTAGTGATACTAATAGTAATGGTATTAATAGTAGTAGTGGTAATGGTAGTAAAGGTAGTAGCATCAGTACCAATAATCTCCCTGTCATATATTCTTAATATACTCATCTTCACATATTTTTTTTGTAATGGGAGCTTCATCCTTGCTATGTAAAATAGAGATTCCTTGTATCATAAAATAATTCCCTCTGAATTCCTTCTAAATAGCCATTCCTCTATGTTTTCTAAGCCACTCTAATCATATGCAGGCAATGAGTCACAATAACGTGGCTGAAGTATGTTGACCAGACCACACACTAGAAATTGAAGGGACGACGACGTTTCGGTCCGTCCTGGACCATTCTCAAGTCGATTGTGACTTGAGAATGATCCAGGACGGACCGAAACGTCGTCGTCCCTTCAACTTCTAGTGTGTGGTCTGGTCAACCCACTCTAATCATAGTCTTGACCAATGCATTTTTTTGTTTAAATATAACATAAATGTGGCATTAATATTCAAATGCATTTTTATTTAATATTTCATCACTTATTTAATATAATTAATATTCTAAAACAGTTTTTTTTAGATTAAATTTTCTATCACTATTTTAGGGGAAATATAAACACATTTCACGTTCATTTTTCATGTTTTATTGTCAAAATACATATAAATATATTACACTTCACGTGGAACACAGAGATATTAGTGTAATGGGTATGTTAAGAGTCTGGCCCTAAATAGTCTGTGCAGGAGAAATAAATTTTGGTGATCTAGAACTGATGAGTGGACCAGATGAAGCCTCCAT